ACTCAAGTATCAAGTGCATTAATTAACGTAAATATCCCCAAAAAGAAGCATAGCAGTAAGGTATATTTATATGATACACATGCATATTTAGTGTATGCCTATCCTATACTATACAATATATGATATAAGTTTATTTGCTTGTTGCACATCAGGTTTTAATTATTTGCATTCATTTCATATAATACTATGTGTACTAATTAAATGAATTGCTTTCTCCCCTTTCTTTTTTTTTTTAATTTATAAATATATACGATAGAAGCATGCTTAAATAAGCAGCTGCAACACTCGTTACACAAAGATTTTAATAATAAATGGAAAAGTAAAAAATTGTAATACGATAAATAAGGAAGAATTCTACGATTCATTTGAAGAAAATCATACCTAAAATAAAACATATTTAAGAAAAAATTTAAAAAATAATTTCTACGAAAAAGTAGGCAATGAAATGTTTCATCAAGTTTTCCTTAAAGTATACCCATAAATTAAATGGGAGAATGCAAGCATAACAATTGCTTAAGACAGAGTTGCAACACAATACTATCTAATATTTATAGATGTTGAAAGAGTTTCATTTAAATGGAACATACAATAAGATACGATTAGATAGGAGAGAACTTTATTACTTTCAATTTCTTTCAAATTCTGACAAACCATCGTCTGTGCTGCAACTACGCTAATTCTTTACCATATTTCTTAAACATTTTTCGTAGATTTAAAAAGCTACGACTTTTAATTTTCTGAAAGAATTTTTCCTTTTTTTTTTTTGTAATTATAACATGTTTGCGTATGAGAGTAGAATCTGCCAATTATGCTGCAATTTTGCGCAAACTTAACAAACTCGGAGATTTCGATCTGATAACGTAAGCATACATATAGCGAGGATTGTCCTTTTCTTCACAATTCTCTTAATACGAATATCAAATGAAATGGCTTGGGTAACAGAAGACAAATAAAATAGAAATAAATAATAAGAAAAAAAAAAAAAAACATGTCTGGAACACATTTCAAAAGATCAAAAGCGTTTTTCTCTAGATTCGATTTTTCAAAAGGACTGAAACCATACAATTGTAACATTTTCATTCTGTTTATTCGAGCAATACTTTACAATAACTTTAAGGAATGGTTACGGAGAGAGAGAGAGAGAGAGTTTTTTGCACATTAAGATCTTAAACGTGAATAGTGTGAATAGTTTCGAACGGTGTTAATTCTTTAAGACTCAGACGAAGATATCTGATTGATTTTCAATTTTACCAATGCTGTTATGGACCGAGATCGTTCATCGCAGGCAAAAATGAAAATAGCTACGACTTTTTTGGACATTTTCAACTGTTTCACATTATTTATATGTGCATGGTTTTGACGCAATTCCAATGGTTTCACCAATTTGTTTAATGAGATATTTTAAGGGGCCAGTATGCCTTTAGCTCTCATGCAGATATAATTATAGTAATTCAAAGTCTATTGTTAGTCAATTATAAACGAACTTTCCATGTGTGTTCTTCCGTATTACAAACGGAAAGGAAAAAAATGAAAATGAACATGGGAGAGCGCCATATATAATACGCCCAAAACAGGAATTTTCTTGCTCTGCGATAATTTATTTACGTAAATAAAATCTGTATATTCTCTGTATATCTTTTTAGGTATAAGAAAAGATTTTCGTGCATATTTTTTAGTTTCAATTTGCTTGCGTTCGTTATTTTTCTATTCGCAACATAGGTATCCATTAGCATTCATTTAAACGTATTGTTTACTGTGGTTTTTGTCAAAAACTGAAAACCCAAATTTCTAAATTATAGTTCACAGAAAAGTTTGCTTAGATCCATTTAAATTACTTTGGGTTTATTGTAAAAAACTTCTGTGCGTCAAGAGCTGCTGTGGAGGATATAGTAAAAGTATGCTACGTTATTAGAAATTAATTGAAATGTTTATCAAAGGGTTCTAAATCCTTACAAGTTGTACAACACTAAAAACGACGATTGATGTTGGCAAACAAGGGGCACGTAATCTCCCACTGGCACTGTACATATAATTTAGTTAGATTTTGAACAAAACTTGAATTTTTACATAGGCCTTTCATTCAACAGCGCCAAAGCAAAAGAAAAAACAAACGAGAAATGCATTTTATCACCATGGTTGCTCATTTTACTTTCCCCCTCGCTCTCTCTCCCCCGCCACCCACTTTTCGGCGTAAAAAGCCTTTTCTAAAATCATGTAGAAAGTAAACATTAACCTGTTCCTGTAATTAAAAAAGTTGTCAAATATATGCGATGAACTTTTATTAAAAAAAACTTTTTATTTTTAAAGCATTCTTTTAGGCATGCCTTTTATTAAGCACTACTTGAAACATATTTCTGAAGGAACTTTTAATATGAATTTTATTGTCAAATTTAGGGATCTTTGAACAATTTCAAGAACATGTACTTGAAAAAATTCTATCAAATTTAATAATATGTAGTAATGTTGTAAGCAATATCTTTAATATTTATATTTATGCTCTGTTGTCTTTTTTACGATTTCCTGTGTTCATTTCAAAACGACTTTTTCCACGTATTTTTTCATCCTTCGCCGAATGCTAAAATGTGCTTTTGAGCATTTCTTAGTTTTGAAAAGCTTTTTAAGAATTTTTCAAAATTTTATTTAAAACCCATATAGTGAGCCGCGTACCTTAAATACCCGGTATCACTCTACAATTATTTATATAACTGTTTTTCAAAATAAAAAGTTAGTAAATGGAAACTAGGAAACGTTGCGCAATCAATGAACGATGCAGTGTTTTTGGTTCTTATCTTATTGTTCGCTCAGTTAGAGATCAAAACTCATTTCCATGCAATAGTGTGTACATACTAAAAGCAAGTTGCAGGGCTTTCAACTGACTTCATAAGTTAATGCTAATTGAGTTGTCGCTGATGATTACACGTCAGCAGCCTTCTACGATTGCATCTTGAAATAATCTTGTTGTGTATTTCAAGGGATGAATATTTCTAGAACTAATTAGCCAGAGAGTTTGCTAAGCGAAGAAGTGTCACAAAATAAACAGAAAGCCTTCATAAATATTCGAGCCGGGTTTTACCCATCCATCATAAGACTTTCCGATACTATCAGGATTGTAATTGAATTTCTGCTGACTTTATAGCATAATTGATAATATTTTGTGAAAAGATTGTCGTAAGATATTTTTCCAAACTATTTTCGAACGCTAATTATTACTTTTCCCAATGTCTTGCAGAAAGCTTAGCTGGTCTTTTAAAACTATCTATCCAAGCAACATTTTCCAAAGTTATTCCCATAAAAACGAAAGACCTGCTTGACCAGACAATAACTTGCCGATTCAAGTTAATGGTAATCGGAAGGTCGGAAGTTTGCTAAACACAGTCGGAAATTTAGTACACTTCAAGTTACTGCTGCTGACGCTTCATGGTCGAGTTCTGCTATATAAAGTCTTATTCCGTTTTATTGAAAACTCACTTTGCTAGATTTAGCAAAATACATAATACCCAATACACCATATGCCGTTGGTTCTTTCAAAACCAGCCGCAATAGATATTTAGTTCTATGATCGACGTTAATGGCTCAATTAAGGTTATTTGGCCTACCGTAACACATTTAGTGGTCATCATCCATTACAATTCAGCAGCACTATCCTATCCGAAGTAAATGGAAAAAGTCACTTTTCTTCCTAAAGACCTATTTTTTGACCTCAAACTAGTTAAAGATTCCTAAAACTGCGCTTGATACACTTTCCGCGAACACTTATGCCGTAGTGTAAACCTGAAAGACAGTGCATTCGAATTGAATATATAGTTGTAGTTTTATTCAGTAACGAAGTGAGTAGTACCAGTTTCGCCAACTTTTGATAAACACCGAAAACTTCTTGAATGTCCCAATAGAGAGAATTATTCCGAGTTAGTGTCTATCGAAAATTGTGACCATATCATTACAGTGTTAAGAAGAAAGTGAATTAAGTGGAAAAAAGGGATGTTGCTAATCCAAATGCCTGAACGTCTCTAATACAAATTTCCGGTTGGTGCGCTGATCCTTCTGTATGCTGTACACTGAACAATCGGTTGTTCTCAAAGATTTGTGGTGTCTCTGCTTTATAAACGAAGAAATTGGCTTTCGCTACGATTGCTAGGTATTTTTGCCACAAAATTACGTACAGAGGCAATAATGCTTTAATAATAAATTCGAAAAGACGAAGAAAAAGGCTTTGATTGTTTGGTAGTTTGATGAAAGAACAAACAATTTCAAAACTCTGCTGGCTTACTTACAATAATGCTTAAGTAAGAACTAGATTTGCATAGTTACTATTGTGGCGTTATTGTTCTTCTTGTTGTTATTGTAAGAATGCTTAAGATGTAGCATTAATTTGCATATATTGAAAACTTGCTATTTTCTCAAATTCTAAAAAGTGAAGCGCATTGCTAAACGAATTCCACAAAAAAAAAAAAAAAAAAAAAAAAAAGAGAAGAATTCTTTTAGGAAATATTTTTCTGAAATTTAAAATTACTTTCATTTATGTAAATAAAGAGAGAGAAAAGCAAAAGAAAAACGGAAACTGTTTTAACGCTTTAAAGCCTTTACTTGTGGAAAGAGGGTAACAGAACAGTAGCACTTCACTAAATAGTTCTGACGTTTTAACGAAAAATGCAAACAAACAAACAAACAAACAAACAAACAAAAAATATAAAATCCTTTTACAATAAACACATGTATATATATATATATATAGATATATAGATATATATATATAGATATACACATATATATATATATATAGATATATAGATATATATACATGTTCATGCTTTTGCAATTACTTTGGATTTTATTTGCCTGACTTCTCTTAATGAATAACGAATGTGTGTTTGATAAATGCTGAGGTTTGACGAGATATATATATAGCCCTAGACCTGTATGTAACAGCATTTATTGTACATAAGTTCCACAGTTTTATTTTCTATGGATATTTTTATAGAGATTTAAAGGTGTTTATTTACCCAAAAGCTTCTCGTCGTGTATATATTTGTGACGGTTTGTGACGGCTTGTGACGGCTTGTATTTCATACAGCCATAGTCTGTGTGTGTTTTCAGCTTGTTTCCTGTTATCCTTGCTGGGGCTCTGTTCTTTATTCACAATTATTCTTTAGCAGCAGCTCTATAACAGGTCTATACGCATATATATAGCTGCTTTATGTTTTGTTAAGTTGTGGTAGTAAATAAGAATAATAGTAGTCGTAGTAGTAGTAGTAGTAGTAGCAGTAGTGCTAGTAGTAGTAGTTGTAGTACTGGTAGTGGTAGCAGCCACCGAGAAAAATACCATATTTATATATAAATTTGTAGTTATTCTGCTGTTTCCGTTTTATTGCATATGCGAACACATACAAATAATGCATAAGCAGGAATCACTGTAAAATTATTGCACGTTGGTTTCAATAGGTTTCAAGAGAAAATTATAAGAGGACTTCTTTTTTCTTTTTTTTGTTTTTTTTTTTTTTCTTTTTTGTTTTAAGCTATTGATTTTCTGTTACCACAGAATTTTTCTTTTCGTTTTCCTCTTCATATATATATATATATATATATATAAATATATAAATATATTTATAAATATTTATAAATATATGAATAAGAAGATATAAGAAAGTGTCTTATTTGTTTTATTAATTACAAAGCATACCTTTAGGCTTTGCATAAATTCTTATATAATATTATTTTTCTTTTCTTTTTTGCTAATGTTCATAAATTGATTTATTTTTCATGTCGCTTTGGCTTTAACCTAAAACATCACACACAAGCACCTTTATTATCTTCTATATACATATATGTATAT